AACTTGAAGGTTGGATTATGGTTGCTACTAAACCCGCTTGGAGGTCCGGACCTCACACTAATGTAATATTGATCTCGGCCGGCCTTTCCCTTTGATGTCTTGAGCAGGCAACCCTAATCTTAAATAGCCGTTCGCCAACGGAAGAGCTGGAACACCCAGAGGTCATCTGCTACCAAGGTCAAAGGCCAAGCTTTTGGATCAAGGGTGATGTGGGATGGATGACGTTTCCGTATCAACAAGTGCAGTGTTCGAGTTCGCCCGACGTTGTGGTAAAGCAAGATTCGGAACCAGGCGATGGGTGTTGAAAAAGGCCGTCGGCCATATCTTTGCACCCGTCTACCCAACTTGAAAATCACTTCAGGAACCCCCGACCAAGGCTTCCGTAGGTTCGCACCCATCAAAAGAGCCTCGCTCGCACCTCGCAATCGCAACGACAGCTATCAGTCATGGCGTGTCATTTGGGGTTGGGTGTGCCCCAAGCTTCTCGTGAACCAACAGAATCCCAGAGCGGGAAGTCTTCTAGAAACACCCGGCACCTCCGTTCCGTCACCGCATCGCCAACTGCGGACGGCCGATGCGAGATTTCTCCATCTGCTCTCCGGGGAGACGTGTACCCCGGCCTATCCGCACCTTTAGGGCTGGCACTTCTAGTTGTGTCAAGCACGCCATTGGGGCGTCTGGCAGTTTGGGAACAAGATGTAAAAGATTAGATGACGGAATTTCATGGATAAATGTCTACGAGAATGCGGCCGTCTCGCACAAGCCGGCCGAAGGGAAAGCTGACAAGAGCCTGGCCGGTAGCCAATGTCCGTGGGGTAAAGAGAGCAGTTGGCTCTCTGTTTCGTTTCATGGTGCGTCTCCCGAGGCAGCGGTAAGACACTGTCAAGACTGCAGCCGTATCTGCAACTAACGACGGGAACGGGTGTCTGTGTGAAGGTTATGTCTTCCCGTCAGATAGCGTTTCATGACAAGATTCCTCTCCAACAACATGTCCGCCCGTTCCGCACCGTCGCCTTACGAACCCGCGAATCATCACGAACATCTTCCACGGAAGAAGCAAAAGCTGGGTGGCCTGTCGCATCATAGCTCTCTTTCGGTAACTGGCTGACCCAAAACGTCTTCACTACGTCCGCCACGTCAAGTTTGACAGAGTTCCGAACTCACGGTCCTCTCGATAGTCGTCCACTACGGCTCAGACCACTGAGCGCCACTCTTCTACGGACGGCAGCGATCTACGCCGAACGCTTCACAAGCCACATTGTGAACAGCACTCCCTCTCGAAACAGTGATTCCTCTATGATCAACCTGTCGTATCAGGCAGCTGTCCGTAATGAACTGATGGTCCATTGAACGAAACACACTTTTCCATTCTCCGTTGGCTCCCGCCACTTGCTATGGGGCCTCGCCCTGCCTGCTGGTATGCCCTCCACTCGAACGGGTTCGGACTCCAGACTCGAGTTGTCGCTCGCTCTCGCGGAGGCATCCCGGGGTACTGGCCCGAATTGGGCCCGGCACGCGCGACGGACGACCGTGGCTGCGTATTCTCAACTTCGCGAGCTATGCAACAGAGCTCGCAACGCCGGTGGTGGAACAGCTGTACCAAGCAGTCGGCATCTGACAGTAATCCGTCAAGCATGACCCATTGTAGGCACGGTTCATTGGAGAGCTCGTAGAGGCAACATGTCACATCATGAAAGGTATTAAATGACCTCTATGCTCTCGGATTGAGTTGAAATAGCTTTCTCACACAACAAGACATCGATATATTTTGATCTCCTTTCTAGCGATACGTTTGGTGATTTCAAGTGCCCTCACTCCAGATACCGCATTTAAGCAGCCTCATACCAGATCAGATCCGTCAAGATGGCGCCAATTCCGGAACCCATCGCCCTTCCACCAAACTTCACCAACGAGCTATTCCAAAAGTTCATCATCCGCGCCCAAGAAATCTGCGGCATCGAAAATGTCCGCGTCATCCCCAAGGACAAGCCCCTAGAGGGCGACTCATATCTCAATCAGCCCAAATCACACGATCACTTCCCTCTCTACGAGAAGACCAAGTTCGTCGCCTCGGCCGTCGTCATGCCCCGCCACGTCCCGGACGTCCAGGCCCTCGTCGCACTCTGCAACGAGCTCGTCATGCCCGTCTGGCCCATCTCCCTCGGCCGAAACTTCGGCTACGGCGGCGCTTCCCCACGCGTTCCCGGTTCCGTGGTCATGGATCTGGGCCACCACATGAACCGCATCCTCGAAGTCAACGTTGAGGGTGCATACGTGCTTCTCGAGCCTGGCGTCAGCTTCCGGGATCTGCACGAGCACCTCGAGAAACACAACCTCCGTGAGCACCTATGGATGTCGGTGCCCGTCGGCCAGGGTTCCGTCCTCGGTAACGCTGTGGAGCGCGGCGTCGGAGCCACGCCGTACGGTGACCACTGGGGTATGCACTGCGGCATGGAGGTCGTTCTGCCGAACGGTAAGCTTGTGCGCACCGGTATGGGTGGCGTCCCGAACCCCAACGCGGACACGAGCCTGCGACCTGATGAGCAGCCTGGCTGCGAGACATGGCAGCTCTTCAACACGGGATACGGACCCTACAACGATGGCCTCTTCTCCCAGAGCAACCTTGGTATCGTGACAAAGATTGGCATGTGGCTGATGCCCAACCCCGGAGGCTACCAGCCGTACGAAATCACCTTTGAGAACGACTCGGATCTGCCAAAGGCTGTTGACATTATCCGTCCGTTGCGCCTGCAGATGGTGTTGCAGAACGTTCCTTTCCTTCGACACACTCTGTTGAACGCCGCGCACTGCGGTCCCAAATCCAAGTATACGGACAAGCAAGGGCCATTATCAGAGGAAGAAGTCGACGGAATCGCGAAGAAGCTCGACATGGGTCGGTGGCAGCTTATCGGTGCCGTATACGGACCTAAGCCTGTTCGCGACGTCCTTCTTAGTGTTATCAAGCACGAGTTCCTCTCCATCCCGGGCTCGAGATTCTTCCTGCCAGAGGACCGCGCAAGAGAGAGTCCTCTCCGCGCCCGTGAGCTGCTCATGCAAGGTATTCCTACAGTAGAAGAGTTGAGGTGTCTGAAGTAAGTCCCATTCCCATACCTTACTTTACTGTCTCTCAATCGCTAACACTGGTTCTAGCTGGCTTCCCAACGGTGGTCAACTGTTGTGGGCTCCAATCTCCAAGGTGTCCGGCGAGGACGCAAAGAAGCAGCACGATGTAGCCAAGAAGCTCATCACCGAATTCGGCTTCGATTACCTCGGCGCCTTTGCCGTCGGCATGCGAGAGCTGCGTAAGTATTCCGTCTGAACGAGCATCTCATTTCATGTCGCGATGCTGCGAGATAGAACGCAAGTGACTGACCCTATTTACCGTAGACCACGTAATCGGTATCCCCTACCGCCTCGACGTGCCCGACGACGTCGAGCGCATCAGGAAGTTGGCGCACAAGCTCATCAAGGAGACGACGGCGCACGGCTGGGGCCAGTTCCGCGCGCACACGGCGCTCATGGATCCCGTCGCCGACGCCTTCAACTGGAACGACAACGCGCAGATGCAGCTCAACGAGGCGATCAAGAACGCGCTCGACCCCAACGGCATCATCGCGCCTGGCAAGAACGGCGTGTGGCCAGCGAGCTATGACAAGAAGAAGTGGGTGCTGGACGGCAACTGAGTAACCCAATTGAGGATGCTTTTTTTTGCTTTTCTCAAGCTCCTAACGTTGTCACGTTCCCCCGCCTCCTGCCGTTGAGCTGGAGCAGTAACCCCTAGTGTGATGGGGAAGTTGTGGGGATGACGACTGGTGGTACTGTGACGCCGAGATGATGCTGTCACTTTCGACTGCACTGCAGAGTGTAGAGGAGGTCCTAAGAATTGGACTGGTATCGCAACTGCGGCATCTATTTGAATAGAGTGTGGCGGACCAGATCTTGCATTGGTGTAGGTATGGCACGATATTATTGCCGGAGTTGGCTAGACTGAGACTAATTGAAGATGGAATTCTTTATGCGCTGTCGCTCACGCCAGTATCCAACATACGTGAACGATATTCACAAGTACCATGTCAGAGAAAGTCAAGTCACGTATACCATATTTTGATGGTATTTGAGAATTTCAGGTACAAGCTTCAAGGACAAGGGTCCGGAGCTTAAGTTCCGGTAGTTGTATCCGGACATGCAACCGTGATATTCTGGTGGTGGTCAATGTTCCTCTCTTCCAATTCAGATCCTTTAATTCAAAGTGATTAGCTCATACTGCCTTACCCCGTACCGTAGTAGTTCATCTAATCGATTGACTTCCCGTCTTTCCCACATTACGAATTGCGGGATGACTCTTGGCTTTGTGGCACGAAGAGCCTCATCCGCTTAATGTAAGCGTCATCGGTGCCGGCCGTACCCACTCACGGCCCGGAGTTCTTTCTCCACGCGGCCCATCCTCGATGTGGTTCGTCCCACCCCGAGCTCACCGGAGACAACTCCGTGAGGTGTATCTGACGTCTGACTGATGACAGAAATTCTTTTCTTTTCACTTCAGAGCAAGTTTCTTCTCTACGGTAAGCTAGAAGCGCGCCGTTGACACACTCTCGGCTACTTGTTGTGCAGACTCAGCGAAGCCGGCACCGATCTTTAGCAATGGCTGATGACGGCAGAATTACAGCCAACGACTCGGAGCCCACGTGCAATTTACAATTGCCGCTCAAACTCCGGGGCTATGGTCCAGGATGATGAGAAATCCCAAAGTCCATGAACGCATCTCAAGAGGCGAGCCCTTCGCCTAGTCCGACTTCCGAGTTCGGAACTACGATGGCTCAAGGATTGATGTGGATTAGTCTGGCTAGATATGTCGCTGTCATTCAATAATGGGAGTGCCGAGTGCCGTGAAGTGGTTCCGATCTTGTATAAGAGCAAGTCCATGATCATTCCAGTAAAGAGGTTGATTGACTGAGCATCCTCAACATCTCGACACAACAGAGACCAGAAGCTTATACATAATGGCACCAAGGAGCATGCTCGGGTTGCTCGCCTTCGCATCCGGCGCATACGCCGTGCCTTTCGTCTCCGAGGCACAGACTACCGTTACCTCAGAGCCCACCATCACTCCCTCACAAGTTGCAGTCACCAACGTGACCTCCCACGGCCCTTACACGGGTCCCTCACCAACTACAACTGGTGCGCTCTCAACCAGTGTCCTGGCCTCCGAGGTCCCGATACTGCCTCCTCCAGACGACGCCTACGACTACCCGGCGGACGGCAAGCTCCATGGCGACCAGCCCGCGCCGTACACGCCCTCAGGCGGCATCGGCACCAATGGCTCGGCTCCAGTCTACCGCGTCCAGAGCGATTTCGACTACCAGTCCCTCGCTCTGGCGCTTTACCAGGAGTACATCGAGCTCGACCTCTTCCACTGGGGCCTTGCCACGTTCTCCAATGAAGAGTTCGAGGAGCTTGGTCTGAATGCTGAGGACCGCTACCTCTTGCAGTTCATGGCCGAACAGGAGATCGGTCATGCTACTGTCATCACAAACATGCTTGGCGCTCAGGCACCGAAGCAGTGCACTTACAACTACCCCGTCACCAACCTTCGGGAGTACATCGACTTCAACCAGAAGCTCACTCGCTGGGGCGAGTCTGGCGTCTACGGGTTCCTGCCGCACCTCAACTCGGGCCCGGCAGCCCAGCTGTTGCTGCAAAGCATCACGACTGAGGCGCGTCAGCAAATGATTTTCCGTCAGTTCGAGGGCTTGTTCCCCATGCCGGAGTGGCACATTCCCGGTATTCCGCAGAGTTGGGCCTGGACGCTGCTGGCACCGTATATCTCTAGCTGTCCGGCAGGCCAGACCCGCCTCATCTGGCAGAACTTCCCCGCTCTTCACATCCTGAACCAGCCCAACCCTTACCGCATCAACGGTTCCAACGTCTGGAATGAGACTACCGGCGGGTGGGCGAACACCGCGGCGACGACGAACATCACCGATGCTGAATCTTGTGTCAACGCCACGGATCCCCTCCAGGACTGTAATGCCGCCATCACTCAGAACCGCACGATGCCCCTATCCTACCCAGGCCGCCAGGTCTTTTTCCAATGGGACGCTCCGGGCCAAGCGGTTGGTCCCAACAACAGCTACATCACCGCGACCAACGTCGTGGAGCCAAAGTTCGCCGCCTGGGTGTCGCAACTGAATGTCACCTTCTCGGCACTTCAGAACGTTAGCCTCGAGTCTCGTACGGCGTACACCATCCAGCCCAACGTTTCGACGTGGGAGCATGATCCCGCCATTAACTCGACCATGTTTGTTGCTCTTACGGATACTGACATGTATGTCACAGCTCACAATTTGACCATGATCAACCCGCATGTTGCTGCGCTTGCTGTGTACCAGGCTGGTTAAGGAGGTGTCCTTCGCAAAATAATCCGAGGGAACTCGGTCTCACTTACCAAAGACAACGCTGCTGTACAATAATTAATAACTACAATGTTATGACGATTTCCAAAAGACTACCATCTCTGCACGTGAATAACAACCTGCACAACTTCAACCACATGCACATTTCAGATATGAACGGGATAGTAGAAGTTATGCTGTTTGGCATTCAGTTGCTCGCCTAAAATCATAATAGTTTCGTGACGCGTCGTATATATCTCGTCGAATCCAAATTCGCCAGTGAATGCTTTTGCATAGCAAGTAATGCTTCACGTGTAGACACCAATTGGATCTTGATTGCCTTTTCTCTACCGGATGCAAGTCTACTCGTATAGAATCGTTTCGGGGAGGGCTTATTTAGAGCTCGTTGTGCTCCTGGCCGTCGGCATCAGAGTCAGCGACAATGGTCTTGACAACGTCAGCCGCCTCAGCGACCTTGCTGGCGACCTTCTCGGCAATGCCCTCGGTGGCAGACTCGACAGCCTCGCTGGCAGCCGAGGAGGCCTTGACAATGATCTTCTCGGGCTTGGGAACACCGTCAATGCCGACGAGCTCAGTCTCGAAAACTGATTACGACACTAGTTAGCAGAGCTTTTGAAAAGCAGGCGAAATAGTTCATACCGAGAGTCGAGCCGCCGGGAATGGGGCCCATGCCGCGGGGTCCGTATCCAAGCTCGGGGGGGATGGTCAGGGTTCTGCGAGGCGTTAGTAACGATTGGTCTCTGGTCATTGAGTGTCCCAATGTTTACCTCTTCTCGCCAATGCACATGTCAAGAAGTCCTTGCTCCCATCTGTACCATTGTTAGCCTCCGCGACGTCTTCCAATGCTTCTCGTCGAATCGATCGTTTATTGGAAACTGACCCCTTGATGACCTGGCCGCTGCCAATCTTGAAGCTGAAGGGGGTTCCGCGGTCGTAGCCTTGAGAAATGAGACGTCAGCTTTGCTTCAGAGAGCTTTCAGTAGGATCATGGTAACCTACTAGCATCGAATTGCTTGCCATCGGCCTGCAGAGTACCGCGGTAGTGCATGGTGAGCTTGTCGCCATTCTTGGTCTTGCGGTCGCACTCGACCTCCTGGGTGACGTCGATCTTCAAGTCAGCGGCAGCAACGAAGCTGACGGCGCTGGAGGCCAGAAGGCCAAGAGAGAGGAGGAGACCCTGCATTGTGTCTGTTTTGAGAAAGGCGAGGCGGAAATTGGTTGATGAGGGTGATGGTAGAGTCGTGAAGGTGGGCGGTCAATTGGACGGACTGGAGGGGGAACGATACAGCTGGCGGGCAACAAGGAAGACAGCTGCAGGGAGGGGCCACCACCAGACTGCCACACACTGGCCAAAGGTGGGTTAAAGACACGCCGCCTTAACTTGACTATCCTCCGATTGGCCAATCTTGACGGCCGGAGCTCCAGGTCCTTGCTGCCCGTGTGTGGACCCCTTTTAAGATATTCCGGGGCGGACGATACGTACCTTACCTTGCCTTATCCTCCAGCTCTGTCTTATCGATAGCCCAAGCTTCCTTATCGCAGAGATCCACCCACAGAGCTCTCCTCCACTTGCTCTACTCTCCCAGTCTCCCAGCTGACATCCTCAAGTGACGTCAAGCCACCGGAAGGCGATGCTCTTCACCCAGCAACCAAGCAGACCATCGCATCCTTTCCTTGCCTGGTGATGGTGGTGGCTATGGTGGATACCTTACGCAGCACGTGAGAGGGCGTCGACAGCCTCACAAAATCTACTTCAAGACACGAAATCCGCGTCACCTGAGTCTTCCGGGGATCCATGACCACGCGCGTCGCCTCGTTTGTCCAGGCCTCGGTTCTTTTATTTCGGTGTCGTCGTTTCTTTTTCCCATGGGTATCTCCCTCGTGGTTAGCAGCAATTAGGTGGCAGTGCTGGACGTACCGTTGTCATCATGGCCAAGGCAGAATCCGCTTCAACGACCCAACCCTTGAATACGAGATGTTGATGTATGGAAACAACTCGGGGGGACAAAGTGTATGGCCGCCATCATTTACATCAGCGACCCAAGAATGACTATTCAAGGTTCCCTCGCGTAGACAATCACGAAGTCTCTTCCCAGTAAGGTAGCTAGACTTGCTGATGACCGTCGCAGACCTGCCAGCGAAGCTAGATATGTGGGTGTCGAGGGAGGAAGGTGAAGCAGCGCTAGGCGGCCGAATCGCCTGATGGTCGGAGACTTCCATTTTGTTGACTTCATGGTTTAAACTATAAGTCTACCTAGGAATGGTCCTCGTCATTACCCGGGGAGACTTGGCGATTAGTCGTCTTGTGTTCTAAGTCCCTTGCGAGTATGGCAGCAAAGTCTTCCATTGTAGTGCCTCGAACTCTGCTCCCAATTTTTTCTTCACCGAGGACGCCATTATCCGCGATATCACGAAATACCCCTGCAGCTCCTTGAAATAAGGCCGGGGCAAACCCACTCTCTTCGGCATGAGTTCGGGCTATTTCCTCCATCTCGAATACCCAGCGGTATGCTTTCGGGGGCGTGACAACGACGCCGCTCTCGGCTAGACGTAAGTGATCTGGGAGACGTAGCTGCAGCTCGTCTTTGAGAACGTCGAGAAGGCCGAGTCTTTCTGCGGTGGTAAATCCTTGTGCGGCGACTGCGATGTATCCCTTGAACATGGTTGTGTAACACATCTTCAGTCCGCTGGCGGCCCCCACTTCGCTGCTCAAATAACGCATGTTCAGCGCTGCATACAACCTGTCCCCGTGATAGGACAGATCCGTGATGTGATGAGGACCGGAAATGGGGATTCGGGGCTGTACCCATCGACCAGGGCTGTGGTCAACGCCGCTCGTAGCCGTCGTAGGTGTGACGGTCTGTTGCCCTGACGCATTATCGCGGATGAGGACGGGCGGCTCTCCTAAGATTGAGCCGTCGATGAAGCGAGCGCTGTTCTGGACTGGGGTGAAGAGTTCCGATATCCCTCGAGCCGTTGATGGCGCAACAGCGTTGAGATCTATGTAGTACAAAGGGTTACTCGGCCGCGAGCCACGGGTGGCAAGTTCGTGTAAGGCGTCCACCACTCGTCGCGCCGTTTCCAGCGCATCTCTCGGGGGCACAACTGAGAGGATGACCGAGGCCTTCTCTACTAGTTCGACATCGGACGACAGCACTTCAACATTGGCTTCTTCGGCTCGTCGAATGGTAGCTGGACTGGTACACGAAGCAGCGAGGGTCAGATCTGACTGAAGTCGGGTTATGTCTCACGAACCTTCTGGCATGTCCGCTTGTGCCAACAATAAAGCCACGAGCCTTGAGAAGCTTCGCGATACCCGCGCCCATACTCCCAATAGATAGTATGCCCACGTAATTTTGCTGCGCTGCCGCGGCCATGATGAAGTGCTACGATTTCTTCGAGGTAAAGAACTTTAGCTGCTGCTAGATGGTTTGCCGCTTGATACTTGAATGTCCCGATGATCTTGCAAAACCTACTCCATGGGCTTTACTACTCTATATCCTCACAATGAACAACTGAACACTTATGCGGTTACGGGTAACTTCGTTTTCGGTTACGATCAGGATTGGCTGACAGCATACTCACGCCCTACTGACGCCCTAATTGTGCCGTCACTCCGTAGACTCCATGCCATTGCTGCATGAGACTTACACTTATCGCGTTATCACCTTTCTCCTTCACTGCGTTGGGAGTATAATGGAAAAGGGACCGGAGACCATGCTGACGTTGACTCACCTCTGAGGTCGTTGGTGAGAGCCGGCAAGGCCTTGGTCCAACTTACCTTGGTCAGCATGCTCACCGGCGGTGAAAGTGTCACAAGTGACACGCTGGTTAAAGTAAAAGCATTTTGGAAGCTACAATAGATGAAGGATACAGCTTCAAGTCGAATTTGAAGGACGAGGACAAAGTGTGACGGTCATAGAGCCTCTCTTCCCGAACCGGCCATCAATATTGAGGAGGTGCTGATGTTGAAATGTTGATAGGTGTAGCTGGTACGTAGCGTCTCTGGTGTGGCGTATGAGCTGGTCGGGCTGTGGCTGAAGCTCGGTACATTCCATCTCTGCTGGCGGGTGCCTGGCCAGGTGCTTTTTCCGTTTCTCTTCCACCACGTCAGTCCGTCAGACTTTAGTCCCCGAGTAATTGACGACTACGGTAGCCATGCTGTGCCCACATCAAGATGTCATCCGCTTCGTGCTGCGTACCTGTCAGACCGGCAGCTTTCAACTGGCGATTCAGCATCCGCTACTGCAAAGGGGGGATACCGCTACACACCGGATCAGAATCACGGTCATTCCGCGCAAAGGGGTACCTTGCCTATCCGACGGATGCATCGATACGATATGAGAGACGACGAAAGATGCGCTAAGCAGGAACTGCGCAGGCAGGCGGTTGGCGGTAGCTTTGCATGATGTCTCTTTTTGCACATTTGAAGGCTGTCGACGCTGGGCAGCAGCAGCAGTTATGTTGCTGCTCCGTCATACCCTCTCCGCCAGTCTGGCACGACACAGCAGAGAAACATCGGACTCACTTGTCACCCGGCCTCCAGTGGGCGATCAAATCATGCAGCTCGCCCTATTGCCCTGCACATTGGAGGCATGAACACCTCCACTCGGCAGAATGATCACCGCCGCTGCATCGCTGCAGACTCCCGCGATCTTCTTCTGGCACTTGTTCTGCAGGCAATTTAGCTACTGTAGCCAGATCGCTACTACTTGCATAACCGGCGTCTTCTGGAGGCCACGATCGACCCGATCGAATGGATGCGATGGAGGCCTGTTGGGTCGCAGTCTGCATAGCAGGGGATGCCCCTTGTCCGCCTCCAAAGGCATCAGGCTCGATCCGAACTCTCAGGCCCCTTAGAGGCCCAACTCGACCGGCCGGCTTCTAGAAACACAGACATTTCTTGTCTCTGGCGGATGGTCCCGGCTGAGTGGAAACCAGAGTGACAAGAAAAAAAAAGGAAGCAAATTACAATGGCGACCCGAGGATCATCGGGCCATGAGTTGGGCAGCGACAGTACTCCGTGAGCCAGGGGCTATGCTGGTACTGATACCTTCTTTTCTCGAGGCTCGAGCAGCAAGAGCACAGAAAAATCTTTTCGTTCTCTGTGCCATTCCAGATTTGGCGACAGGCCTCCCAATCTGGGAGGCTGGCACACAGTTGCTGCACGGCGGCGAAGCGCTTACGGGGGCCAACCAAGGCTGGCAGTCTCACGAGTCCTTGAAGAGGGGCGACGACAGCCAAGTTCCTGCAAGGCCGTAGCTGCTCTGGCTTTTTTTCTACTTTTGCCGCGAAACCACAAGTTCCGGCCCCCAAAGCTGAGCAGCCACAAGACCGCAAAAGACGGCCCTTACGCGTCGCCGCTTGGTCATCGACATCAGGCTGGCGCGGAGTATGGCATCACTCATCAGTTGTTGAGTCTGGACGTCTCGAAGTTGCGAATGAATGATGACAAACTGTGTCAATGATACGTACGGCGGCTAAAGGGTGGACGCAGGTGAAAGCGGGACATAGTACAGCATCCAAGCAGGGCGAGACACAGCGGCAGTCCTGTCAATCATCGCCCTGAATCCGCCCTACCTGCGTCGTCCGACCATCCCTCGTCCAATCAACCATGACGTTTCGCCACCGAGGCATCAAGGGAGGGTTTCCTGGAGGGTTTCCTGGGAGGTACGAATACTGCTCCTCCTGATGCTGCAAGTCCTGCTACTACCAAGCGTGGCCCCAAAGGACTTTGGCGTTGTTTGGTCGGTAGTCTGGTAGGAATTGATAGACGCACACGCGCTGCATCCTGTCGTCCAGTCCCGAAAGATGCTCAAGGCCCGCCGACCGCACCCTTTTCTGGTTTCCACAGCATCTGCAACATCACAACAGCCCTCTTCCCTGCTTTCCTTGGTAATCCATGGGCTTTATTACTTCGGACTAAACTACTCTAGCGTTTCCCGTGCCTAACGTCCCTGCATTTTGAAGGGCCCTGAAATGACAAAGCTGCCCAATGGATTCCCAGTCGCCTTGCGACACAAGAAGAACTGGACACACACACACACAACACACGCACACACCAGGAGGCCAGGACACAACAGACTCTCAAGTCTAAACGCACACACCCGGCCCTTCTTACACTCTGGTCAGCCCCAAAGCATCCAGGGCTATCCCCACACTGCCTCACACCTCATGCCTGGGCTGGCACCGTCTACTCCGTCCGTACTCCCGTGCCGAAGTCTGCTTTGCAAGCAATGCTTTCCAAGGTCCAAGGTTGGGCTGAGGTTGAGTCACTCACTCTTTGCTTCGCCTACACCACACACCACCCATCAGCGAGACTTTCCACAAGGCATTTCTTCTACTTTGCCCGGTCCAGGTCCCGGTCCATGTCCAGGTACCTCTCGCATGGCCAGGCAGTCCAAACCTTTTGCGGGCCTTCTCTTCCTGTCTCTTCTTTCTCTCTGCCGCACCGTACACCCCGGGACCAAGCATGCCCTGCCTACGGCAAGTGCTGATGGCACACGCGTTCGAGTATCCGTACTTACAAGTGTACGTACAAAGATGATGGAGGCATCCCAGGTCTGGGTGTGTGGTGTCTGCAAACACCTCCCATCTATATATCCTGCCATGCCCTCTGCCTCTCTTCCTAGACTCGAACATCTTCTTTACCAAACTCCCAAGTCAAGCACTCGTCAACCAAACTTCACAAACACCTAACCAGCTCAACTCTCTTCAACAAACACATCACCTTTGGAGACCAACCTCCATCCACCACACAACCCCCAACGCACAACTCGAACCCCATACTCGAGTAACACCAAACACAACATGGCCTCCAGATACAGCTCCTCCAAGCCGGTCGTCCACCAGGCCCCGGCCTCCATCAGCAGCGCCTACTCGGCATCAACAGGCTCCTACGCCTCATCAAGAGGCTCCTCCACCCCTCGCTCCATCTCTCCCAGCGACGAGGCCTACCTCCGTGTCTACGGCGCAGACCAGCACCGGGCTGCCATCAAGGAGAACAGCGGCGTCACCATCATCAACCGCAAGCAATCCGGCTACGACGCCCACGCTCCATCACCACACTACGGCGGCGGATACTCGCGCCACTAGAACAAGCGATGCCGATGCGACTCTCTCACTCTTCAACGACTACACATAAACTACTTCACTTTGTAAATGCATAAAGACTGGCGTTATTTGGGGAAATTTGGGGCATAAGCAACTGGGCGGCTTTCGCACTCCTGTACAGCATATTGTAACACCGTGATTGGCCCGCGGAACGCATTGGGAATTTTACGGGATGCATGGATGATAATGGGGACACATGGGAATTTGGTATTGTGGGAACACGTCCCAAGGATGGATAGGAGGTTGATACCTGTACGTTTTGTATGTTGCACCGACGGATGGGATGGGAGCCACTGTCATGTCTAGATTAGATGGATGGGATTTTTGTGTGTTTTACGGGATAACCACTGGATCTGCGACACTTTTGTGTTCGCCTGTAGATCGATGGTATCCTGTCAAATTCTTCAACAAACTGTTACAATTTCTTTGCACTTTTACCTCAAGCCTACCACCAATGAGTGACATGCATGTCTCCTTTTCCTCCCGTCCCTCTCTCTCCCCAACCCAACCATAAGCTCGGTGTGCTTGCGCAGTCGTCCCAAATGGGAAATTTGAATTTTTGTCTTTCTGTAACCCTCCAGTCCGCCCGCCTCATTGTCTCTCAACCCGAAAAAAGTCAAAAGCGACGAGGGCTGGGAAAAGTGCGGAAAAATACAAAAGTTTCCAAACACACGGCCGGCCCAGCGACCATGTCCCAAGACTGATTGATCTCCCTGAGGAAAAGCAAACGTTTCCTTGCAGAAAGGGGTCCAGACTCGGAAGTAATCAAGGCAAGGCAGGGCAAGCAAGAAAGTCGCTGCACTCACTCCCCCCAGACTGGACTTCTTTCAGGGGAAGGGGAGCTCACCTCAGCGTCCCGAGTACCTATCCGTACTCCTTACTCCGTAGGGTAAGCAAGGCATGTCAACGTCCCTGATTGATTGTGGTCCACCGTCCCCCCAGGCCCAGCGGCCCAGCGCTGCTGCAACTGCAAGGGGCGGGAGCGACGGCAGGACGGCAGTCCGAGGGCAGGAATGCGACGATGGGCCACCATGCCATGGAGAAATACAAGCAAAAAAGTTGGAGAAAGGGGAGGGGGAAATGGTTGTCGCGTGCGGTACCACGGCCAGCACAGCTTGGTCCAGTCCAGACTACGACTTCAGACCAGGCCAGGCTGGCTGTGGAGGCAGTGAAGTTGAGACTGCCACGATGACTCGCGTTGTTTCTCTCTCTCTCCTGAAGGCTGAGCCCCATCTGTCTTTCCTCCCTGTGTCTCTCTCGTGGCAATGACTTGCATGTGTCTTTGATTCAAGCGCAGCCTGAGATGTCATTCATGCACCATGAGCGCGGGATGGGCTGTAATGTGAGCCACCTCAGCTAAGGTACTTTCACCAGCAGTAAAGGGGACCTTACGCAGAAACTTAGAATACTTAAATTACTAATTCAGAGTTGCAAATGTCCCAGCAGGCCTTCTTCATTTTTGTGCTGCCTTCCAACTTATCGTCTTAAGGCTGGGGAATAGTTCACATGTTAATGAGGTGTCTGGGGGGGAATGATGGAGGAGGGCTCCAGTGCGGCTGTATGGCATGCCAATGCTCCAAGAATAGAAACAGAAGAACCCCCAAAAAAGACCCTTGGACTGCCATCTCGTGTCCGCCAACAAGAGCAGGCTTCATTCGCGACAAGGCTGCAAGAAACAAGTTGATGATGTATGCATGTCATTGATATCTCCGTTTCTGGTGGCAATTTGATGGCAATGCAATCCGTGTTTCTGTTTCTTTCTTTTTGTTTATTTTCGGGAGCTAAAGTTCCAGTTTGACTTGTTATCCACTAGAGTGCCCTGACAAGGAAACGACTAAACTTGTTTTTGGCTCTTTTCTGCTATTCGTAGACTCATTATGGAAGAGTGCACATCCCCCATATCATAACCGCGGTACTAAATACCAATAATCCTACATCGTCGTCCCGCACTTGCTCAATGTGCATCATCCTCCACCATGTTCGCCTCAAAGTCGTAGCAGCGCGAATAAATGACGAGACAAGTGATCAAATACCGTCAAGGAGCACATCCCGACGAACTCACGCGCCACCCTCACGCTTGGCGTACTCGTCCTCGATGGCCTCGGCATACTTATCGTCGGCGCTGCGGGGGTCCTCCTTCAGCACGCCCTCCTTGATGAGGTCTTCGGGGGCAGGGCGGTGGGAGATCTTGTCGTTGAGAGAGTCTGCACGCATGTGCTTCTCAAGCTCCTTCTGGTGGGCGATCAAGCTAGGCGCGGCGTTGGAGGCGGGCAAGATGTTCTCTGTTGCAAGGTCAGTTAGCATTTCGCCATCGTATCAGTGCAAATCCGGGACGAGGCGGCGTAGAGGCTCCGGCTATGTGTAGCAGGTGCATTGAGGGTGGGGTTTTTCTTCCGGACAATTCGAGGTGATCCCGGTTTTGATGATCGGCGGGTGAGGCGGACGGTGGGGCGCGACGGACGGCAAGCTGTGGAGGGGGCACGCATCGAATAGGGGAAAGAAAACAGGAAATCGCGACGATAGTGTATACAGCGTGACAGGGCAGATTCGAGTGGAGGGCGGCGTTGGTTGTGATTGCAGATTCAAATGCACATTGAGGCAGGGATTGAATCACGAGATGGAGACTGTGAGAAGGGATCCACGTACTCTCGACCAACTCGGCGCGATCGGGACGGTGTTGGAGGTGGGCCTCGAGCGAGTTCTTGCGCTCGCCGGCGGGGTGGGTGATGGGCGTCTCGTCGACGACGGACTTGGTGTTCTCGTCAGACATGGTTACTTTGTTGGTGGTGTTGATGGTCGGCGGGGGATCTGGTATCTGATGCTCGAACGGGGCGAGCTATCGGCGGGTTCCGGTGAAGCTGGGGTTTACGGATTCGTCTCGCCTTGTTTTTGTTGCGTAGGGTAAGGAACAAGACAGGATTTTCGATTGTTCCGCCTTGGAATTGAGATGATAAGTGGTAAGCGTGGTAGTCAAACTGTGGTTTTCGCGATGGAGAACGTGGATAGAGGATGGGAGTCTGGACGCAGGAGGGCGGAGTGTGGATGGTCGCGGGTGGTGGTGTGTTTTGTAGTCTCTCCAATCTTCTGCAGTCTGCGTCTTCACACCTTGAACTTGGAAGAGGGGTTGAACTGGAACAGTAAGGCACGTTCCCGTATGGAATAAGGTGGTCGGATGGACGAGCGTATTGGTTGTGGTTGGGGTTGGGTTGGCACAGTTGGTATGGCAATGACAGGAGAGAGGCACATGGGGCGGGCACACAGCACCCAAGGTCGAGACTCAAGAAAGCAGGACACACCCGCCCTTGTGGCCTGTTGCTCTTGCCGTCTGCTCGTGAGGTGAGGTGTGACGAAGCTGGAGCTGGGGGGAGGCAGGCGCGAAAGAGGGGTACCCCGCCCTGTAGCTCGCCCCTCCTGGCTCTTAGCTGCAGACCCGCAATTCCCGGGCCATTGCATCACAAGGTGCCTTATGTAAGATGGCACGTATCTCTTTTGGACTCCACTTATGCCTGAGGATAGCCCCAGAGCTTTCAGGCGTGACATGTCACTGGCTGCTCCTCTGAAGCTCTCTCCTTCACATCCATCGGGTGCAGACGCATGTAAACCCTCTGCAATCTTTTTGCATTTGATGTTGCATTCTGGCCGAACAAGCTTCAAGCTGTAAGCTGCGTCGCCTAGGAAACACCAATACAGCTCAGCATTGTTTGCTTCTGCGGCTTCCAAAACAATGACATTCAACATCAAGTGCATTCCTCACGACCATCCGAGATGAGACAGCTGCCACTGCACTCGGCCCGCCAGCCCCTGCTGACTTTGAGGGCTGATGACGTCGAGCGCACGGGAATCCATTCTCACCCCAGTCAGAGCACATTTCGACTAGACCTCGCCTCCACGCCCCTGGACGGAACAGCAGCTTCGGTGATGAGATCATGAGGCCCAGCTCGCCCCTTCTCATCTTACCTACCTCGCTCGTCGACTATGTACGGAGTAATTATACACTCAACAATACGGGTACGGATACCTTGTGATCAGGCCTCAGAGCAGGACGCCACAGACAGCATCTGCCGTGCCACTAGATCGCAATAAGTGCTGCGCCACCAGCCAAGTGAATCTCAGCCACCATTCTAGAGCCCTTGGTTCCACATCCTCCCTCCGAGTACTTACTTGGAGGTCGGGAGGGATAGTGAACTCCACAAGCGTGACAGCAGCACTTTTATTGGAACTACCATAGGAAATGAATCTTCAAGGTCTACTCTGATCTGATAACCCTTGTAGTTCTGGGAAACGGTCGACTCGGAATACACTTGAAGCTTCTAGTCAAAATCAGGACATGTAACCGGCCAAGCACTCCAGGTTTATGGCTTGTCGGATGCTGGCTACGGCTGGCTCAGCGGCGTATGCGATGTGATTCAGTGAGCAATGCACATCTACGGAACCAATCGCGCCAATAACTTCGAACCACGAGTACCCGTTCTGCCTGCTATGCAGCCTAAATTGGGCAGACAACCTGCAGTGTCCTCTTTCTAGAATTGTCTGCAGTTTTGATTCCATTTAGTCGCTTGAGCCTCGAGGCTCGCGCTTGCTTTCTTTCCGTTTTTCTAAGGTCAGCAAACATAGGAGAGAATCCAGGAAAGGCCTAATATCGCCGCATCCCGGAAGCATTGATGCGATTCAACTCTTCTCGACATCATTCTCGATATCATGAGGCTTCTCAACGTCTTCACCTTGCAGCTTCAGGAATTCCACGGCGGTGGTATTCCTACATACGCAATCCTATCGCACACATGGGAGGAGGAGGAAGTTACCTATCAAGACCTGACATTCGGGGCCTATACATCCAAGAAAGGGTTTATCAAGATTCGGGCTTGTTGCAGCCAGGCAATCAACGACGGGTATGACTGGGTGTGGGTGGACACATGCTGTATTGATAAGACCTCAAGTGCAGAGTTGTCTGAGGCCATCAATTCCATGTTTCACTGGTATAGTGGCGCTGTTGTTTGCTACGTATTCCTCAGCGATTTGCCCGCTCAGGCACCGTGCGGCCTGGACACTCAGTCTTTTCTAAATTGCAGGTGGTTCACCAGGGGGTGGACGTTGCAAGAACTCCTCGCCCCATTTGTCGTCGAGTTCTACGATCAAGGATGGAACGAGATCGGGACCAAAACATCGTTGGGACACTTCATACATATCAATACTGGTATACAGCGCGATATCTTGGCCGGGCGCCTCTCGCTTTTTTCTACGAGCATTGTCGAACGCATGTCCTGGGCCTCGAGCAGGAACACCTCTAGGGTGGAAGATATTGCATACAGCCTTCTAGGAATTTTTGACATCAACATGCCTCTCCTTTACGGCGAAGGGAAACAGGCTTTCTCACGGCTCCAACAAGAAATTCTTCGAAAATCCGAGGACTTGAGCTTACTGCTATGGAGGTCGACCTCTGAGGACTTTGCGGTTCTTGCACAAACACCGGCTGCGTTTCGAAACTTGGAATTTCAAACCGAGGAAGGGCAACCTGTATTGGCACTGCAGCGGGCTTGTGAATTAATTCGACCGTTGGGCCGCCAGGAGCCATTTACGCTTGGGGAAGTTTTAGCTGGTGATTACGCGGCTGCAGAAAGCATTCATCCACCGACTATCACAAGTCGAGGGTTGAGGGCTAGTTTACCCTTGATTACAGAAGGACTCTATGCCTGCGCGGTTGTCTTTGGCCGCATTGCCGCACCGCCATATGATCTAAATGGATATCTCTGCATCTCGTTATGCGATGCACATCTGTTGTCTGGAACCACGTCTTCCCGCGTGCGATCGAGTCCAAACTCGCTCTTCTATAAACCCAGAAACAAACGAATCGAGCACTCCCCCGAGCTTTACATGCGCTTGGAAACCCCAAGAAACACATGGGTCGCCCGTGTGTCTAACCCAGATTTCAGAGTCGTATTGGATCAGAAGTCACCTTACGCTCTCAGGATTTGTCAACTTACTAGCTCCATAGGCCAGCTTCTTGACCAAAGTCGCCCGACCGATATGCTCCGGTACCATATGAAACCTTACGACAGCGGAATTGTTCATATCCAGTTGATCTCCAAGCCTTGGATAACACAAAGAGAGGGTCCAGAGGTATATCAAGCCTTAGTCGGGATACGTTCGGGAAAGCACAACCGACTCAGCTGCCGCACCTCTATGGACGAGAGCACGCTCGACTGGGTTCTCTCAAGGAACAATACTGATGATTCCCGAGATCTCACTGCGACTTGGCATCAACGAAACAAGTGGTCAGATCGCTCTCACACAGTCTTTCCTGATCGGAAACACGTTTTATCGGCGGCTATCAAAGATACCAGCACATATCCTGTGCTGGTACTTTCCGTTCATCTATGGAAAGGGGCACACGCAGAGGGGCTCAATGTAACATAGAGATAGGAGCAGTCAACCCCGTGACATTCTTCTTGGTGCTTTTCGCCGCCTTGTTACATCTGCGAAGGAGGTGGAAGTGGCGTCAAGGTGACCCCGTAGGGCGAAGGCATAATCTGCTACTACTCATAGGCGTTTTTGATTGATGGCCTTTCACACTATAGGTGGTTTACATAGCATTGACTCCTTTCACTCCCCCAACTTTTCTTATAACTTTCTCAGACAACTTCACCACCTTTTCCTGGAGGTGAAAATCTTCCGTTGAGATTAAGCGTGTGTGATATGATCGTGGATTTGGATAGTGGGGCGGATCCGGCAGCATGAATTCGCAGTCCGAAGCTTCACCTTGATCAACTCTCGCATGGATCGCTGGATTCATGAAGTTGACTCAAAAGCACTACATACTTAACTATATTGCAGCCCGCATTCCCAAAACCTCCGGCTCCTTTATGGGAGCATTTGTACTTGGAGATGGTCCTGGAGGCGATGGTCGGTGGATGATCTGCAGTCTGGGGACGAACCAGCAACAAAGGGTGTAGTTTGTCTATCTCAATGCTGTCGTACATGTCTAGCGGTACCTCGTGGTCTGATTGATCTTTCCAGATCCTCCTGGTACAGTGTTACACACTCGACGCAGCAGTCAAGCCTAGTTAGTCTGGGCATATCCTGGTTGGTCGGGTGAATCACTGGAAAGTATCACCGTGACATCGTAAAGATAGCATACAAGAGGAAGAAGTTTAATTCCTGAACTAAATATCAACCAACGTGGCCACGAGAGTCTTTTTGGTGAGACCGGTCCTGGTTCTAGATGCTGTCAAGCGCTGATACCATAAGAGGATACTCCCATGTTTTATTCTCTTATTCTCTCGTGATTCTGCTATCTTGCAAAACTGCCAATGTTCTGAGCTCTATTCAGAATGAGACCACCCTCGTTCATGAGATCCTATTAACCAGAACCAGAGAGAACGACATCGTCGGAGAAGCGAAGGCGCTTAGCAGCCGGCGCGCGAGCGGGCGTAGCGGAATGCGAGGCGGCAGGCGAAAGCAGGTGCGACTGCAAGACGCTCTGAGCAACCGGTGTCTGTGGGCGTTGCTGCATGCTGATTCTCTGGTTCATGAGAGCCACGGTGTAGTAGTCCCCAGCAATCTCGGCAAGGTAACGAAGAGCGTAGACGGGGCTCTTGAAGGGCTCGGCCCAGTCGACGAAGATGGGCCGACGGAGGTGGGGGGGCAGAGCGGGCTCATAGTCATAGTCATATTGAAAGACGGGGTTCCCCATGTTATCGTAGAAGCCTCGGAAGCTGGTCAGCGTGGAGTCCTACTTCACATGCTGGTCGAGCGGCGCGGCGGATGAGTAGATCTTGTCGGGGTTCTTGGATAGTGACTATTGTTAGGTGTGTTTTCTTAAACAAGAGGGGCGGGGGCGGTGACGGTGAAGTTCTTACCTGGGGCGTGCCATGAACTAACATGGGGCTGAGAGGTTCCTGTGCCTGAATGTCAATATTGCGAGAACGAGAAGCTAGGAAGAAAGGTGTTAGGTTTCGAACCCGGGTGGCAATGGAATGACTGGCCTCGTCCTTCTGGTTCTCCTCCTTGGCCTCGTCCTCTCTGTTCACCGCCTCGATTGAGTCGATGACTACCTCTGACATGTCGGACTGGGAATCCTGCGGCTGGGAATCGCTCTCAGAGTGGTCGCCTGGGGTGATGTCGAGGTCCTGGTCAGGAAGGGCGAGATCAGTCATCGCCTCGTCGGTCAGGAACTCCATCCAAGAATCATCGTTATCCTGGGAGGCGGGTCTGTCTCAAAGCGTTAGCTAGCTCGGCAGAAAAGACTTGGACTAGGAGACTGTATCACGAACTCTCCAATCATGCCATCGTCGTTGACAATGCTGTAGCCAATGTTGGTTCGGCCGGGTCGGTACATGGATCCCGGATCCTGTCGGATAATGATGCTCGCCATTGGGATGGCTATCGATGCAGTGAAAGCTGCCGCGGAAGTGAAATGGCGGCTGCGACTTGGGAAGAATTGGAGGTGGGTCGGATGACTGTGGAAGTGACCGCGGTTGTCGAAGGCAGGAGCGGTGCTGGGAGGAACCTCGGTGAAGGGCGTTCCTTCCTGCTGTGTAGGTGGTCTGCTTCACTTCTCAGAGTGGGCGGATGGTGAGCAGCGGCGGTGACATTCACAGCAACAAATTGTCGGGAGTATGCATTGGCATGAGCCAGCATGAATTTCCTCCTCAGGCTTTCCACGATAACGAGCCCACCGGCGACACTTAGTAGCTGCTGCTCGTCAGTTCCAACTTCTGCCCGTGTATTCCATCCTGTACTCGCAGTATATACTGAGAAGAAGTGGGCAACGGTCATATCGGTTGCTAGTTCAAGGCATAGAGCTGTCTTACTCCTAGGCAACAGCCGCAAAATGATACATAGTTGAGGGAGAACGATGAGGCTGTTAAGATCCAAGAGGACCGAGGATTAGTGGGAGCAGACTGCCATGGTTGTCTGAGGAGGAAACAAATGATCAATTGGGGTTTAGGTAGTGATGCTGATAGAGGCTTGAGATTCTCGTTGGCCCGCCACCCAGAAGTAGAATAGTCCTTGAGGATCCAATTGCTCCAATGGGTTGCCCTGCACACGGTTCGTTCATCTAATGAGGTTTCCATTGAGGCCTCTTACAGCCCAAGGGAGAACGTTCAGTGTTTCCACCACCATGATCTAAGACTTTCCAAGAAGCCCGGCTGATTCGAGAGCTCACTGCCTTTCATTACGGTTCTGATCCTCTCCACCTTTGCCCTCGAAAGCTCGAGTCTTTGAGCAACACCCAGTACATCTGCTTTCCCACCGCCATTGAGACCAATCCTGACTTTGGGATCTGCACCCGATAGCAACATTGCCAAAATCGTATCTGCTACCTCAACCTTATCAAGGTTCAACTTTTCGGCTTGAAGACTGTGGCCGTAGCAGACAGAAAGAAAAAGTTGCCAAGGCGTCTTCCCGCCATACAAATCGATTCTCTGGTTCGGGTCAGCCCCGTTTCGCAGCAGAAATTCAACAATGACGCCGACTGGGCCTTCTTGAGTAGGTAGCTCAAGAGGTGTCACGGTGGTTGGCCGCAGAGCGTAGTCCAGCAACGGTCGGCCAATCTTCTTATGAACCTGATCTAGATCCATGTCGATTTTGTGCTTCACATACAATGATAGTCTCGCCTGTATAGCAGAGGCCAGAAAGTTCTTCTGTCGCTTTTCCTTGAAGTTGCCCTTCGGAATATCTCTGAAGTTGGTCCAGTGGACACTCTTGTCTCTGGCACTTGATGTATTCGTATGGTCCAGTGCGTCTAGCAGATTGAACGTATCGTCCAAGTCATCTGAGAGACACTGCGAGCCGGTATCGGCAATCTTGCTGTTGTTGAGATATGCCTCTTGGATTGTGCGAGCGTGGTACATCAGCCCGTCAGAAAGAAGAAATACCTCGTTGTAATCGACCGCTATTTCCGCATAGGACACCGTTTTGACAAGTGCCAGCATGATCCGGCAGAGTGAAAGTGCCGGGTTGAAGTGGGACGTCTTTCTTTTGGCCTTTGTTTCCTCAATCACGTCTCGATCAATGAAGAAGTCTCTCACAGTCCGATGCAAAAAGTCGACTTGGTACTGAAGAAATGGTTTCTTGGCCGGATGAAAGGTGACGTAGAGGAGGTCTTTGCCCCTCGCATTGAGCCGCTTCTTCATTCTGTCATGTAATCTTTCCACGTTTTCCGGCAAAGTGGAGGCGACCTTCATTTGCAACGCATAGCTCGCGCTTTGTGCCTCCTGTTCGAGAAATTCGAAGGCTAAAAGTGGTAGCGCTTGGCCAGATTCAATCATGATTCTGAAAATGCGAGACGTGCTTTCCCAGTATATCGGCTCTATTGACTCGATCATATGCTGGAAATATTCTTCTAGGTCAGCTGGAAGCTCGTCCACCCGATTCTGCAATTCTGAGAATGTGTCTCCTTTGGCAAGGCCGTTCTTTAGAGACTCCACGACGAGATAGATCCACAGGAATACGCCCTGAGCTCTGTCGACAATTGTTTCGGCTACTCGAGAGCAATGGTCGTCTTGTTTCGTAAGGGCCGTAAAGTCATCGTTGTTGCACAATGTGTCCGTGACATAGCAGCGGATGTCGTCTCTAGTCAAGCCCTCCATTCGAAGTTGCCATGGCTGGGCACCAAATGCATTCATTATACTTTCAGGGGACTTCCTTCTCGAGCTCTTTCTGGTAGTCCTTTTGTTTGTAACAGTTTTGGCAATTGTCTTGGATGTGGAATGAGGGGATCATTCAACATTTCTTGCTTTCCCAAACACCGCAAATGCTAGTACCATGTTCGCACTTACGAACTTTTGGTTTGTAATACCAAGGCTCGGGGAATGGAATGGTGTAACAGGCGGATCGAAAAAGTTCGCCAATAATAGCAGTCTCGGAGGAGGTTCTAGGCATTTCTGAACTTCATATCGTCAAACATGGAACAACTATACCTTGAGCTTTTCACACATCCAGCTTGATTTCTATCCGACATTTGGGTTGTATGATAGATCGCTTATTTGCCTTATCTCGAGACCAACCAGATATGCCTCTCTACAAGCCACTGCACTCAAACTTCAGGAGATTCCCTTCAACTATCCTCTTCTCCATAGTGACGAGCGTTGGCATATCCCACATACAGCTGATCCACCTGCCTCCCAGCCATTCCCTCTTGACACTAGTAAGGTACGGGATAGAATGGGCAGCAAGCTCTGGGGTATCTCGCATTCGAACTATTCCATCGTCAGATCAAGATCAACACGATTTGCAGGTGTGGACTACTCACATTGCAATCTTTCTGGCAGATTCGAAGACAACTCTGTCGGAATCCCCCCAGGATGGATGGAAAACGCTAAGACGCCCTTTCACACACGCTTAGTTCATGATCTCAAATCCATGCTTGTGAATGATGTTACCTGATCACCATACTCATCCTGGACAAATTCGGTGAACCGTATCAGCGCAAATTTGGAAATGTGATAAGCTCCTCCTCCAGCACCCATGAAGTGAGCCGCCACCGACGACATATTGACAATCGTCTTGTCACCACTCTTGAGCAACAGCGGCAAGAACGCCTTCGTGACACGATATGTGCCCCAGTAGTTTACATCCCATGCCTTCATGTACTCGTCGTCGTCGGCATCGAGCAGCAAGTTGAAGGGGGCCATATAGCCCGCGTTGTTGACCAGGATGTCCAGGCGTCCCCACTCGGCCGTAAGTCGCTCTGCGGCCGCCTTTACGCTCGGCGTGCTACTTACGTCCATCTCAAGGGCCAAGACCGTTGGCTCTTCCCTCCCAGCAGCCTTTGCGGCCTCGATGATGGAGGTGACTGTAGACGAGACATTTGAGCGAGCGGCGACAGCAATGAAGGATGCGCCTGCCTCGGCGTAACCGATTGCTAATGCCTTCCCAAGCCCTTTGCTTGCCCCGGTTATGAGGACTGCTTTTCCAGTGCAGTTAGAAGCCGTTTTTGGGTTGATCTCTGGGTATGTGTCGTGGTGGATCACGTCCCCAGTGAAGACGTCAACTAAGATCGATTAGTCTCTGCAAAGGGTCTAGACATGGGACGAAGTCTGGGTCGGTACCCTTGCGAGGCGGGCCGGCCGAAGGTTGTTGGGGTTCGGACGCCATGTGTGGAATGATAACCAGCTGGATGATACCCGCTTCTTCAATTGTTATCCAAGGCGATAATATCTCAGCTTGTGTATTCACAGAATCGGGAAATTGTTGAGAATGAGGTTCAAGTATGGTTTAGCTCCCACATCACGCTAGGATCGCAAGCCGGACTTCCCCATTTCGTAGCGCCATTGGTGGCGCCGACACGAACACTGTGCTGTGTTAGACCGCATACAAAAGTAGGTAACCGGACAACAGCTCCGTAGCTCCCAGCAGTGAGATTAGTGTAGAATACAGACAATTACAAGAGCACAAAAGCTCTTCGGAGAGCCCCCAAGCATATAAGAATTGCTTTCTGCCATCCTTCCATAATGAGGGATCAAGTCATCACGACTTCGCCGCTGAAGCGCTAAATCATTGACCTAGAGTTTCGTGTAACTTACTCTGTGGGCGGGACCTGTTCACCACGCTAAATCTTATTCAGTTTCGTTGTTAAATCCATGAAAACGAGAACAGTACCTCATTGAAACGTTTCCACATACAATTCAATCCACTGCACAGCAATGGATCTACGCTTGCAGGCCGTGCCACAAAGCATAACCATAACATGCTTTAGACCCTGTAGAGCGTGGCTGCGCCACCACCCCAGCCCCTATCATACCCCGCCAAATCGTGTGTGATCCTACCCCTTTGCTGTCAGCGAGTCGCGACTTCTTGGACAAGTCCATTAGATTCCTATGACTGCCAAGAACGTTAATATAAGGATGTCAATCGAAAACGAACACGAATGTGAATCCGGCCGCTCGGATTCTATACGAATACGCGGTCACATATTTTTCAACATTTAGAAATGATAAACTTCTCGCGCTGACCAGGCTTGTGTAAACGTCATCAATCGTGGCTGAACATCTGTTGATAGTTGTAGTGAAGCCTAAACAAACCGAGCCAATCGCAGTTGGTTATGATTACGAGCGATGACTTCTGACAGAGACGAGGCTACGCGTGGAGAGCCTACTGTCTTGGGATGCCATGAAATGGGGGCAGAAAAAACTGGCTGAGGTCTCGGCAAAGCCTTGTAGTTGTTGTAGTCCTTTCCGTACCTAGACTAGGGAGTGCAGTAACTTCAAGTCGCATATCAAGAAATCGGGCGGGGTTCGTTATATAAGAACCTGGAAGTAGAAGAACCCAAGAAGCCCGAGTAAGACTCAGAAGCTCCAGATTCAGTTTACCCCCTCTACTCATACTACCGTGCCCGTAACTTAAGTTTTTGACATCTCTCCTTGACCAACATGTTTGGACGAAAGCACATCGGAAGCATGGGTTGGATGAACTTCGTCGCCTTCAGTTCCACTCTGCCTGTCCTCGCGCATTCAACAACCGCCCCAAGAACAGCTCATGCGCAGCCCTCTCAGGCAAATCATGTTCAGTATGTTCCTCCGGAGGCGTTCAATGGCAGTGTGGTTCCATCCTTCACTTCCAACGACTTTGGTTTCGACGGTGCCAGAATGTCGAATTTCAACAGGAGTGTGTGGGATTGGTGGTATTTCGACGTCGTTTCGCCGACGGACAACTCGTCAATCATCATCCTCTTCAATCTTGCTTTTGATACCGGCTTGCTGGGCGGCAGTTCAACAACTGCTGCGAACGCAGATATCACAGGCACTTTTGCGAATGGCACAAGATTCTCTTATTCGACAGAGGCACCTAACGGCGCTGTCATCGTCACCGCGCAGGAAGGGGGCTCATCTGGTAGCTGGAACGACGCCGGGATGACGTGGAGTAGCACTCCAGACATGAAGACTTATGTGGTCTCCATTGAGACTCCTCTCATCAATGGCACTGTCACCTTTGATTCCAAGGCGCCTCCTCACTACCCATGCGGCCCCAAGGAACCTCGAGCAAACCTCCAGATTGCGAAGAATTTTGGCTGGGCCAACGCCGTTCCTGATTCGGATGCGGTCGTTGATATTACAGTGGGTGGCGAAGATGTCAGGTACACTGGATACGGATACCATGATAAGGTAAGAGAAGGCATTTCACTTATCATTTTGATACAATTTCCATTGCATTCAAGTCTTGCTTCCAAATACTGACAGTTGGTGAACATAGAATTGGGGCGACAAGCCATTCGTGGAGACCTTCACCGATTGGTACTGGGGTCATGCTCGTCTTGGCAACTATTCCATCGTCTGGTTCGACTTCATCGATGTCGAATTGGTCAACACTGTTAGTTCATATGCGTCGAAAGACGGGAAGATTATCACCGCATCTTGCAAGGAGGGAGCTGTCAAGGTGCGCCCAGTCGACGGGCCGTATCCACCCGTAGGTGACGGAAAGTTCCCCTCTGCGTTCAACATTGTGATGGACCTTGGAAAGGAAGGCATTCTCAATGCTACCGTTACCCGAGAGGTGACTGTCCTGGACGTTCCTATTTACAAACGGTGGACAGGACCCGCCAAAGGATCTATCAATGGCGGCCCTGAGATGACCGGAGTTGGTCTGTGGGAGGAGGTCAACCTTCTCAACCCCTTAGCATAAAGCTTGCATGTTAGGTGGGGAGTAAACAAGAGCAAGTTTGATGACTGCCCGCAGACCATAGATAGTCTAGTCGCTCTCACCGACGACTGGTTCTATACTATAGAGAAGTGGAAACCGCATCGATCTTAATGGTTCACGAATCTGCTGCACAAACAATGCTCGACTACTTTGTCAATCACATAATTGTCAGCCAGATCTTGTTGTACGCAAGCTGCATGCGTTTAGTCATGACTAGTAAGTCGTCGAATTGCATCATAATCATAAATAACACCTTTCATGCAGTATGTGCGTGCATCTCCTGTGCTCAACATGTGGGGTTTAAAATATGTACACGAAAAAATTCCATAGTAACCAACACATTGTTTACTCCAGACCAACGCTAATGGCAGCCAGCGCATAGTCCATGAAACCAGCGTTCGTGTCCAGAATGTTGGTGTTGAACTCGGCTGAGGTCGGGTAGAAGTTACCAGAGGGACCAAACTCGAGAGTGTATCCGTAGACCTTGTTGACGCCTGGCTTGGCCCAGAAACGGGAGAAGGAGTAGTCGTCACTGGCGCCGGACGTGGGGTACAAGCCGACGGCCTGGATAGAGGTGTAGGCACGACCGCCGACAGCCTTCATGGCGTTGACCATGGCCGTACCGACGGTTCTGATGTTGCTGAGATCGGTGGAGGGGATGTACTCCTTGTAAGCAGAGTCGCCGACGGGGCCGCGCTTGCCGTCGTAGGCGGAGTTGAGGAAGTTCATGGTGGAGGTGGTGGTCTGGTCGTCGTCGTCACCCCAGCTATAGAGGAGGTCGCCGACGGCGGAGTGGATGTCCATGAACCAGCGGATCTTGGGGAAGGAGTCGTAGACGGAGACGAGGTTCTTGGTCTCGGGCTCGGACTCGGCGGCGGTGCCGTAGAAGACCTCGGAGCTAGGCGAGGTGGAGGCGGGCGCCTCGGAGGAGTCGAAGTACTTCTTGAAGTTCCAGAGGAAGTCAAAGTTGCGGTTGATATCGACACCAATGGAGCTGCCGCTGGAGCCGGACTTGGTGTTGCGGTTCTTGCGCCAGAGGGAGCCGGAAGACTGGTCGTAGGCGACACCATCGGCGTTCACAAGGGGGAAGAAGACGATACCCGCGGCAAGGACGCTCTTGACCTGAGCGTTGGTGTATGACTTCTTGCCGTAGGTCAGGCCGCTGCCGGACTTGTTGGCAGCGAGGAGATCGGAGATCCAGTAGATGATGTTGTCGGGTCCACCGCGCTCACGGGCGTGAACAGCAGCACTGAAGTACAGGTGGTACTTTGACTTGTCGGTTCCGGCGCCGACGTAGTAGGCGTACTCGGTGGCGCCGTTGAAAGTCTTGTACGGCAGAGTGAGAGATCCGATGCCATAGTTCTTGACAAGGGCGTCGCAGGCCGACTTGATCTCAGCAACGTTCATGATGCTGGAGATGGTGGTGCCCGAAGCCTGGGTTCCAAGACCGACGGGGGAGATGGTTCCCGCGCTGAAGCGGTCGCCGGTGCCGATGGGCGCGTTGGCTCTCTTGCTCAGGTCTCTTCTGTGGATAGAGACCTCGGGCACGAGCTCATACTCCTTGGAGAGATAGTCAATCTGCTCCTCGGTGAGCCAGGCGTGGAGCTTGTAGTGGCTTCCATCCTCGCTAGGCTTGGCAACAGCTCTGCAGCCAAAGTCAAGAGTGTCATTGCGAACAATGTCCCTATACGCTGTTAGTGTCTAGGCAGGATGAGTTGATGATGAGGTGTTACCTGAAGCTCTCGGGCGAGGGCCCCTGCAGGTACACAGGGAGCAACTCTCCGAGCACGACAGTGCTCTGGAGAATCAGAGACGCGATGAGAGAGTACTTCATGGTGATCGAGACGATGGGAAGCGGAAGGATGCGAAGGATGCAAATGGAACGGCCCGTCGCCAAGTATGCTTAAGAAGATGGGGGATTCGGCCTGCTTTCATAGTCGTTTCCATGATGTCCACAACGGCTGGCTTTGTCTCGGCCATAACGTCTCATTCGAGCAACTGGCTACTCACAAACCAGTTCTCACTCTTGAAATCTACCCCATGTCTCCATGCCCACAAAATTAGCTATCATCGTGGCCAATCATAAGCTTAAATCCCCCGGCCACGCTTGAGGATCGTTCATGCGACCTGCCCCAACAGGCATAGCGCTCTTCTGATCTTGGTAGGTGGTTCGAATCATTCATATGAAAGCAAACGGCGCCCCGTACGTAAAGCGGTAAATGGCCTGAAATACCGCGTTCAAGGAACTTTTTCTAGCACGAATTTACAATGTCACCTTCCTCCACGGCTGCGAATACCGGCGAGTACCGATCGCGTGGACCTCCTCGCTGTGTTCCCGCTCCCGATGTGGGGTGATGACTGCCGGAATTCGCGACACCAGGTTTAATTCCTTCATTCTTCTTCCTTGGAGTTGATTATTGCGACTTCTCGGCCAGCAAGGCTCTGGTGAAGTTGCCAGCATTTCTCGCTTCCTCCGAATCTCAGAAACAAAAGATCCTCAAGTCCCCTCATTGCGTTTGCTTATGCTGTGACGTACGTTCGATGCATGTAAGACGACTGACTCAGAATCGCAAACTCGCGCCATCTTACCATGTTCCACACAGTCGATTGGCCTCAATATTGAATGCTTCAAACAATGAGTCAATTGACTCGGCTACTTGAGGAAACTCTGCGCACATCGAGTAATACTGGATAGATCACAACAACTGTTTGCTATTGATATCCCGTCGTGGAACCTGACCGAGCTAAAACTTGAGGCTTCAATCATGCTGTTGTCCTCACTCCTTAAGGCAACCGTCTGCCTCATCTGGCCGTCCTCGGGATGGACAACATGTGCACACAAATCAGCTAGCGCTTTTCCGTCGCTCCTCGATGCGACACTCGACGATCTCAACCGTGGTCTGATCAGTGGAATTTTCACCAGCGTCGACCTCGTCAATGCTTATATCGAGCGCATTAAAGAGACTACGCCGACCCTCAACGCCGTCACCGAGATCAATCCGGATGCCGTCTCCATCGCCGAAACTCTGGACCTCATCCGCCGACAGGGCAGACCGCTTCTCGGCCCTTTACACGGCATCCCCGTCCTGATCAAGGACAACATTGCAACGGCAGACAAGATGAACAATACGGCCGGCTCTTACGCCCTGCTCGGCGCTAAAGTCTCCGAAGATAGCACCGTCGCCGCCAAGCTCCGGAAAGCGGGGGCGATATTGCTCGGCAAAGCACACCTGTCGCAGTGGGCCGAATGCCGGAGCTCCAATTCGAGCAATGGGTGGTCAACGTATGGCGGTCAGACCCTGGGCGCGTATTACCCCTTTCAAGACCCATCGGGTTCGTCTGGGGGCAGCGGCGTCGCGTCTTCGGTCGGTCTCGCGTGGGCGTCTTTGGGGACTGAGACAGCCGGCTCGATTTTGTTGCCCAGTGACGTCAACAACGTTGTGGGCATCAAGCCGACTCTTGGCCTCACCTCACGGTACCTCGTTGTGCCCATCTCGGAGCATCAAGATGTTGTTGGACCCATCGCTCGGACCGTGAGAGATGCTGCTCATCTCCTGGGAGCCATCGCCGGGGTGGATCCCAGCGATAACTACACGTCTGCGTTTCCTTTCCCGAAGACACCAGACTACGCCGCGGCATGCGTCAAGGGGGGGCTACTGGGCAAGAGATTGGGAATTCCGCGACATATGCTACACGACCGTCGAGAAGCCCCTCTCTCCAACTATTCGGTAACGGTATTCGACTCGGCCGTCGACATTCTCCGGTCTGCAGGTGCGGAAATCATAGACGACATTGTTTTGCCAGGATACAACATGACCGAAATCTCCGCGCTCCTCACCAAGAGCCTTCACGCAGATTTCGCCGTTGCTATAGAAAAGTACTTTGAGCAATTGGCGACCAACCCATACAGCATTACCACGCTTCGTGAGCTCCGACATTGGACCCAGCATGACCCTCGCGAGCAATGGCCTGACAAGAACACACTCTCATGGGACAACAACCTAGCAGAAGGTCTGCGTAACACAGATCCGGAGTTTTGGGATGTACACCTCCGGCTTCTGTACCTGACTGGTCCCCAAGGATACACAGGAGCTCTCAAGAACCATTCTCTGGACGCGATAGTCCTGCCGACGGCGTTTGCTGTGATGAATGCTGCCATATCCGGTACACCGGTGATATCGGTACCGTTTGGAAGGCATCCGGACGATGTTGAAATTGTCAAAGACAAGACTGGAACGCTCAATGCCGTGGCACCGAACTTACCTTTTGGCATTGGTTTTGCGGGGGCTCCGTTCAGTGAGGAAACGCTGATTAGCATCGCGTACGACTTTGAGCAGAAGGTCCAGGCCCGGGAGGTCATCAAGCCCTATATCAAACCCAAGACCGACCTAGAAGACGTAGTTAGACGCAGAGCCGAGGTGGAAAGCAGACAAGAATTGTGACATGAACGTCATCTCTCAAGACAGATTCGTAGTCGACAATGACGCCAAGTTACGTCCTAAGGTTGATGTACCTTACGTAGAGTAAGGTAGCTACTACAGTACAGCTTTCAATATCCTTCATGACAGCATAACTCCTCACCATTGCGTCTTCAAATAGGAAAGCCACAATCACATCGCTGATCGACTTTCGGGACTTTCCCGGAACCCCGCGCACCGATTTACGGCGGCGGGTATCTAACCGGCCCTGAATGCAGGCCCTCCGGGTCGGATTCCGATCGCATCACAGCGGTTCCCCGCACTCCGAGAAAGCCCCGAGACCCTGTCGGCAGCGCACCCGATCTTAGATACAAATGTCTTATATCAATGAGCTTCATTCAGACGGTGAGAGAATTGAACTTCTTGACTCAACCTACAAACTTGAAACAAATCAAAAGTGAGTTGGGTTGTTGAGCTTTGAGTGCCCAAGAATGCATGTAACTGACCAGTTTCTTATCAGTGTCTGGAAACCTTGTCCCCCTCACCGTTATCAAGGGCGCCGGC